TACTGATGGCAAATGTCTCTTTAAGAATAAAATCTTTTGTTTGGTCATTATTGCTAACTTATCACTGATTGACCAAAATATTAATATGGACAAGTTATCTGGATTATTGTCTAAGCAAGCGGTAGCTACGTTAAGTCAAATGCATATTACCCTTGGATCGTTCAATACCACATTCTTTAAAATAACTAAGCTACTACATTACGAATGGCAATTCTCCAATAAAACAGCTGGTTTAAACGTTAGGCAATTTAATGAAATATATCTATCGTCTGTAGAACTAGGCCTTGAGAAAACTGGGATTTCTAGTAATGTTTCCGTGTGTGTAATGGTAAATAGTAAAGCATGCTCAGATACAAATATTAATCAGTGCCATACTTACCATAATCTTGAATTGCCACCACCACATCAATCCACGAATCTATGTTCCGGTAAAGTGATTGGCAATTATTTACTGGCTATCGTGGTATTAATAAAATTTATCGCATGAGAATAAACGTCCACTAAATTGGGTGCAGCTCTAGACGAGACGCCGGGGCAATAATCTCGAGATTAGAATTTCTGTATTCCAATCCCGATGTGAACATTAAAAAAAGGCCACGACAACTGGAATATAATCCGGGAAAATTGGGCCTCCCTTCCATTGCAAACATTACCACAGATAACAAAATTACTAGATGCTAATGTCCAAATTACCAAATACTTGTGTTAACTATACTTTTATCGTCAACTTCGTTCCTAATAATTCTTGTGTGTGTATAATAATACAAAATTTATTTTTTCTGCAAATTAATGTTAAAATTAATTATATTTATTTTCACATCTTGTAAAGAGAATGATTCCTAGGCCCCAACCTAGGCATTCTCTCTCTCAAATTTAATAAATATTTGTTTGCTGGGAAATAAACATGGCGACATTTCACACGACCTTTGCTTTCAGGCCGTAGAATATTGGTTGGACAAAATCCCGAATGTACACTGTTATAAGGATTGGGTCGAATCGACCCAAAAAATATGGGTTGACCCAAAAATATTGGGTAGGCCTACAGACATTTTGGGGTCAAAGCGACCCAAATTTATTGGGTCCGTCATGTCTGTACCCAATAGTTTTGGGTCAAATAATTCGCTTGTGCGTAGGTGTCTTTAGCAGTGGGAGGAAACCGGAGGACACGGTGAAAACTCACTAGGATGGAGAGACGACTTTAGGACATGGCAGCTTCCTCTCGGTGGGTTTAAAGCCTATATAAAGGTGATCTGACTATGGTAGGCTCGGTGATAATCACTTGGAACACTGGATGACTGGTGCTGGTAGGTCATCCTCAGATGACTGGTGCTGGTAGGTCATCCTCAGATGGCTGGTGCTGGTAGGACACCCTCAAATGACTGGTGCTTGTAGGTCACCCTCAGATGACTGGTGTTAGTACGTCACACTCAGATGACTGGTGCTGGTAGGTCATCCTCAGATGAGTGGTGCTGGTAGGTCACCCTCAGATGACTGGTGCTGGTAGGTCACCCTCAGATGACTGGTGCTGGTAGGTCACCCGCAAATGACTGGTCCTGGTAGGTCACCCTCCGATGACTGGTGTTCTAGTAGGTCATCCTCAGATGACTGGTGCTGGTAAGTCATCCGGGGGTTGGATGGCTGAATGATTAGTGTGCGCGCGCTGTATCATAAAGTCTGTCATTAAGTCGACTGGCGTGGTTTCGAATCCCCGGTTGTACGTGACAAGGAGTAGGGTCGCCTGTCCAACTTCGTGGGTTTTCTCCGGGTCCTCCGGTTTCCTCCCACTGCTAAAGACCCCTACGCGCAAGCGAATTATTGAAATAAAATTAAACCATATGTTAGTCCCGAAATGACCTAGTTTGTGTCGAATGGACGTTAAACCCCATTTCTCTCTCTCTCACTTTGGTAAGTCATCCTCAGATGACTGGTGCTTGTAGGTCACTCTCAGATGACTGGTGTTAGTACGTCACACTCAGATGACTGGTGCTGGTAGGTCATCCTCAGATGAGTGGTGCTGGTAGGTCACCCTCAGATGACTGGTGTTCTAGTAGGTCATCCTCAGATGACTGGTGCTGGTAGGTCACCCGCAAATGACTGGTCCTGGTAGGTCACCCTCCGATGACTGGTGTTCTAGTAGGTCATCCTCAGATGACTGGTGCTGGTAAGTCATCCGGGGGTTGGATGGCTGAATGGTTAGTGTGCGCGCGCTGTATCATAAAGTCTGTCATTGAGTCGACTGGCGTGGTTTCGAATCCCCGGTTGTACGTGACAAGGAGTAGGGTCGCCTGTCCAACTTCGTGGGTTTTCTCCGGGTCCTCCGGTTTCCTCCCACTGCTAAAGACCCCTACGCGCAAGCGAATTATTGAAATAAAATTAAACCATATGTTAGTCCCGAAATGACCTAGTTTGTGTCGAATGGACGTTAAACCCCTTTTCTCTCTCTCTCACTTTGGTAAGTCATCCTCAGATGACTGGTGCTTGTAGGTCACCCTCAGATGACTGGTGTTAGTACGTCACACTCAGATGACTGGTGCTGGTAGGTCATCCTCAGATGAGTGGTGCTGGTAGGTCACCCTCAGATGACTGGTGTTCTAGTAGGTCATCCTCAGATGACTGGTGCTGGTAGGTCATCCCCATGCCCACTGCGCCCCGCTCTCCCTTGTATACGATCATATACCATTAACTTAACATTCAACTTCAACAGAAAGAAAAACAACAAATGAACACTTTAATTTGATAAATTCTGAGAACTCCAAGAAAACTGCGAAGACGTGTAGCATGAAGCGCACCAAATACTATGCTAGTAATATGAACTTTCCGGGACTCCCTCCCTCCCCCCACACAAAAACAAACAGCCCCCCCCCCCAACACACACAAAAACAGATAAACCTGTTCCAATGGGGGTAAGTCTGCTCTTTTAATTTTAAAACACATGCTAGTGAACCCAATGAGCATTTTTCAAAGTGGATAGTCATCATTCGGTAGGTTTCGTATATTTTCATTTCTTTTCGGTTTATTTGGGTAAGCGCTAAATGATAAGGTCAGCTTCAGTTTTCGTCTTAAGTCACGAGATGTAAACAGGGCTAGCGCTAATATCAACCTTAAAGTAGTCAGAAAATTTCCTTTTTATCTGTACAGATAATTAAATATAGAAATTTTCTGAATTCAATTCCCACCCGTAACCCAATATCATCCAAAATCTTCGACATTGAAAACACGAACTTTTGTGCAATTTAAATCAGCATTGGTGTGGTGATCTTACCTGGAAAAGATAGGCTTCTGATATCCAATATTTCAGACAAAATAAACATTTTACCATTGGTACACGAATCGTGTACCATAATGCGTTTCAGTGCGATTTGTAACAAGGTGCTCAAAGAATGAGGCTAGACATCCACATGTCATATCAAACGGTAATGCCATATTCTTATTTGTAGAGCATGCACAATAAATACTATCGATGTTGACTGGAATAACCAGACGCTAGAAACTGACTTTCGGTTGAGACTTCTGGCGTATATCGCCGAACATAACTGATGACAATTCACAGTAAAACAGAAACGATTGAATGTAAAACAGTTTATATAAATTCCTATTATATTATAATATGAGTTGCGACGCATTTGTGCCAATATCTAGCTCCAAAATATTACCGATTTAGCTCCTTTAACCCTAATCCTGGACATAGCCCCAATGCTTATGTTAGGCGCAATCTTCACCCCTCGCGCAGATTGCAATCTGCGCTGACATCCTGCGCAGATTGCACTCCGCGCGCGCAGATTGGACCCCGCGCTTATGAAGCTGGCGCGCAGATTGCCAACTTTGCGCTGATTACCCCACGATGTTTTTAGAGATATTGTAGTGTGTCAGACGCAACTATATATTATATTATATATGACCTGCCTCCTGTGGTCTTTGTAGTGAAATAATTTTCAAAATCACTGCATAATTAGCGTGTGTGCTTAGAAAATAAGATTTTTAATTCTAGTCAGCAGTATCTCATAATCGGTGCTGACCACGTGACCGAATGTCAAAAATATTTGCTGTATTTAGTGTAATAATAGTTTGACCGATCGTAGTTACTTTAGTAACGAAGTCTTAGAGACCCGTATGTAGGTTCACAACTCGACCATAAAACTGACGGTCACAAAATTCATTAAAATGTAATCATTAAAATGACTAATACTAACGCACTGATCCATAGTGAATACCGAGTAAGATTAGGCGGATTATCATCGCGGTAATCCATTAGTCCGGACAAAGTTCACTTCGCGCGCGCAGATTACTCATCGGAAATTAGACGGAGATTCGCGCATGCGCGGGAGTAATCTGTCCGAGGAGGGTAATCTGCGCTCAACACTTACACTAACCCTAACATAAAATCTCTCCAACAATCACGTGCCCTAACCTTATTTACGTCTCAGCGATCTTGACAAAAATAGAGCTGGCCTTAACAAATAGATTTAACCGTTTGGACACAGATCACCAAATATTCCTACGCCGTCACCCACGAAACAAAAGCCAAAGCTATTTTTAGTCTTCCTCTCCCTTTTCCTTTTTCCCCCTTTTGCATGGCGATTTTTGTTGACTTTTTGGTGTAGAATCGAGGAAAAGGGTTTGAAAATACATTTTCTGCCAGGTTTTGGTGAATATTCATAATTTTGATGCGAAAGGATACAGGAGTTGAGAGGTTGGTTAGGTTGAAATGTAGGGCCTGAAATTGCATGTTTACTTGTCTCTACTTCCAGCTTGTGTATCTCAAGTTTTTCATGAAGAACCTCATACGTGCTTTTGGGCTAGTGGTTGCCACATGTTGCTCCATCTGTGGTAGAAAGCGTTCTACCCAACGAAAATTTGGGAAAAAGTTAGAGCCGGTCTAAGATACGAGAATTAACATTGGAGTCAATGGGGAAATCTTTAGTGATCTGTGTCCGTTTGTTTGCGAAAATCGATCAGGGGAGAACACTCTAGTGGTAAGGAATATGAAAGACTGGGAGATAAAAGCTTATTGATGTTTGCGTCACCAGTTCTATGGTAATTTAGAAATTAACTGTCCAGTCAGACAAGTTCTCTTACATAGCTCACAATTTGTGAACGATACCCAAAATTGACTTCAGAAAGATCTCTACTGCTGTCATTGTAAGAAGATTGCTGCCAACTTGCTTCTACTAGTTCTAGTATAGTAGTAGTAGTAGTAGTAGTAGCCTACTTCTAGCCATGCCCATTACAGTGAATAATAATAATTAATAATCCAATATAGTATAAAGGCCAGGGTTACAAAATTAAAATTCTTGTAAATGGTGAAAATGTTATCAAATATAGTTAATGATTAATGAGTAGAACGAAGCTGGTTGTTGTCAAATTTAAAACCTTCATAATTAAGTTTCTCAGCAAGTGATGCAGAAAAATGTTAAATAATTTCTTTGTTTTCCCAAATTGTTTTTAATTTTAGTAGCTAAGAACTCAATATCATCCTAAGTCTTTGACATTGAAAACAGAAATCATTTGTCAATTTAAAGGAGCTAAATCGCTAATATTTCGGATCTAGATATTGACAAGAAATGGGTCACAACGCATATCATAATGTAATCTGAATGTATATAAACTGATTTACATTAAATTGTTTCTGTTTTTAATCTTACCAGGGAAAAGATGGGCTTCTGATATCCAATATTTAAGACAAAAAAATCATCTTACCAATTTTAACCGAATCGTGTACCATAATGCTTTTCAGCGCCATTTGTAACAACGGACTCGAAGAAAGTGGCTAGACATATTCCACACGTCATGCCAAATGGTGACGTCATATTCTTATCTGGAGAGCATGCGTAATAAATAGCTTACTATCGGTATAGACAGGAATACATTAGAGGTTGCCATTCGATTGAGAGAGAAAGAGAGAAATGGGGTTTAACGTCCACTCGACACAAACTAGGTCATTTCGGGACTAACATATGGTTCATTTTTTATTTCAATAATTTGCTTGCGCGTAGGGGTCTTTAGCAGTGGGAGGAAATCGGAGGACCCGGAGAAAACCCACAAGGTTGGACAGGCGACCCTACTCCTTGTCACGTACAACCGGGGATTCGAAACTTCGCCAGTCGACTCAATGACAGACTTTATGATACAGCGCACGCATGCTAACCATTCAGCCATCCAACCCCCCGCCATTCGATTGAAACTTCTGGCATATTTAGACGAATATAACTGATTTAAAATCAGAGTATAAACGGAAACGATTGAACGTAAATCAGTTTATATACATTCATATTACATTATTATATGCATTGCGACCCATTTGTGTCAATTTCTAGGCCCCAGATATTAGCGATTTAACTCCTTTAATTTAGAGCTAAATTGTATGAGTATTAGATAAATTACCTATTACTTTTGTTTAAAAAAAATAACAAAAAAGTGTTAGAATTATTTAATTGACGTCACACATGTGTGACGTCATAGATTAGACGCGTAATCTCGCTTCTTTGTACGAGATTTAATACAGGGGAAATAACTCCATGTTGACATGCACAATGCCTGTTTTGCCCAATGCATCCGGTTCCAGTATGAATTTTTTTTAACCAACAGTCTGTGACAGTGTCATTGGCATGAAGCTTTAGAGCCCCATTTTATATTAATAAGTGAATAAATGAACTGTCATGATCGACCAAGTCTACATTGTGCTTGGTAACGATAATTAGCGATAATTGTAATATAAAATGATCGTGTTTATAATAGTAAGTGCAGGAGGACCCCATTACACACAAAACAAAACCAATCAGATAAACCCACGAAAACGACAAACCACACAGAAATAACCAACAAATATTAAATCAAATATTTAAAAATCTCCGCTCAACAGCAGTACAACAGACTTATGTTAAAGTAAAGCAGGGATTTTTTAATCCTCATAAATCATAAAGTTTTTGTTTATCAATTATACTGTTTAAACTTACATTAACTACTTGGTAGGATTTTATATCACATTTCTTGAGCCTAGCTTATGTCGCCCTACGACGTGATAAAACTGACAGCGATTAACTGCAACTGACAGCTTATATTGCTACGACTGAATTTATCCAGGACTGGACGCAAAAACGAGCAACCAGTTGATCATAGTCGTAATAGCGCTCATGTTGTCCGGCGTCAGTTGATGAATCAGAGCCACAACTGATCACATGACTGACATGTGATAACCCTCATTCCACTTGTCCCCTGTGGTTGTTACCGCCCCCCGGGTACCACGTGATTAAATAACCGAATCTTATAGGCTACGTCAACGAAGTGTTGACTTAAGCCACTCGTAGGTGCGCTCATGTCGCTTGCGACTAGGGATAACTAGTTGTCTGCAGTCGTAGGAGTAGAACATGTGCAACTCAAGAGATGACTGGAGATGACTGGACAGTGACTGGTTGACGTCCGACTTACACCATTCGTAAGAGCGCTCAAGTTGCCCTCATAGTCATGACAGATCAGTTCCACTTGATCGTAAACCAGTTGCCGATTTTGAGTCGCGGTCAGTTTTACCACGTTGTAGGGCTACATAAGTTAGGCTTTAGGAATAATTTCTCTGATACTCTCAGGAATCAGAACACTCTCTATATGATGATAAATACCATTTCTTCTGGGAATACCAGTCTGTGACATGTTTACAGCATTATTTAATCGAACCTGACCCTGAAAATATAACAATAATATGTTCATTAATGGGAGATAACCGGCAAATTGTAAACTGCATGAACTCAATACTTATCGTATATATCCTATTGCTTTGGCACCTTTATATACACAATGGTGGTGACGTTACAGGATTTATAAATTTATTTCTGTACAATAATAGATTATTAAAATCGAAAAGGAGTTTTAAATTTATACAATTTAAGAATTATTGATATGAACATAAAAATGATTGGAGACTTAGCTACTTTAAAGATACATTATGTAAGATTTAAATAAAGAGCTAGCCATTCTTGCTATAATAGTTCGAAAATAGATAATGTAAAATGAGTAATTTGAAAATTTCATTCAAATTACTCTATTGCGAGCAAATTAAGTTTCGCTCCTCCATTTTCAGCTTAAATCAAAATATGGCTGAACTGTTCTAATCTATTTAATATCGGAGAAATCCGATTGCCATCGAGAGTTGATTATGGCCTGGATAAGTTAAATAATGTCTAATTGATAATTTAGATAACATTTCAGGCCTAAAGAAAGACCTGCAATAGGCAGATTTTTTAGCTCTTGCATAATGTATGTTTAACATAAAAATGATCAGAAAAAATTATATACAATACTGTAAATTAAATTATGGATTTATCACTGAGCCACTGATAATCAATCTGATTCAAACACAGATCTTATTTCGATTCATTTTTTTATATTTCAAAATTTTGTTTTACTCGTCTTTACTACACAAGGATCTGGAAGAGTTGATATGCATTGACCTTATAGAGTCAAAAGCCGCTCGTATGACCTCTGAAGCGACCTATCACTACAACCGGTCAGATCTTCATGTAGTGTAGGCCATCAAAAGTATAAAAAACGAAACGAAATATAGATCTGTATTTTAATCTGATTGCACTGACACGACTGACCAATATAACTGTAAAGATCTCTCAAGCACTGATTTAAATCAGCTGTGATCCCTTTAATCTGTCATGTAAAAATGAAATTATGAAAGTAAATTGTCTAAAAAAAATTATTCATTTTTATTTTTCAGTTAAACCTACTTCCCCCCTTTAAGATGATATACACTATCATTGAATGACAAGGTTCAAAGGTCATTCTGAATGACAGGGTCAAAGGTGAATGGAGGTGATTAATTCAACTGTGAATGGAGCTGTCAAGTAGAGAGGAATATGATCGTCTCATAGCAACCCAAACATCCGACCCAGAAGAAATGGAGAGCTCAGATTATCAGTATAGCATATTGAAGGAGCCGGGCGAGAACATGGACGCCGCGGATAAAACCGTTAACTGTAAGTCAGAAGAGAAGATTAGTGTGAACAAAACAGGCAAACTGACGTCCTCATCTTTTGTGTGGATATTGGCATTCTTTTCGGCCATTGGTGGATTTTTATTTGGATATGATACTGGCGTTATTTCCGGTGCCATGTTGTTATTGAGAAAGCGTTTTGAATTATCGTCGTTATGGCAGGAGATTATTGTGAGCATAGCGATAGCTGGAGCCTTTATTGGTGCTCTTTTCGGTGGATTTTTAAATGATAAATTTGGGCGTAAAGCTACCACAGTTTTAGCGAGTTTAGTATTTGCGGTGGGTGCAGTTATTCTTGGAGCCGCTCAGAATGTGGAGATGTTGGTATCTGGTCGGGCTGTTCTAGGACTAGGAATAGGTAATTGAATAAGCTATTAAAATGGGTTCGTCTGTCTGTCTGTCTGTCCGTCTGTCTGTCTGTCACACTTTTTGGGACACAATAACTCTCCTTCTAATTGACCTAGAATGTTCAAACTTGGTGTAGGTGTTTATTAGGTCAATGCCTTGATGGAGTTCGAAGATGAGCATTTTCTGCTTAGGGTAAGCAGAGATAAGCAATTTGATTGGTTGATCCTTTGGGACACGATAACTTTAGTTCTAATTAAGTGAGAGTGATGAAACTTGGTCTATAGTTTCATTACATCAATACCTTGACTAAGTTCGATAATGAGCATTTTCTGCTCAGGGTAAGCAGAGCGATAAGCAATTTGATTGGCCGAGACTTTGGAACACAATAACTCTCCTTCTAATTGAGCTAAAATGTTCAAACTTGGTGTAGGTGTTTATTAGGTCAATGCCTTGATAGAGTGTGAAGATGAGCATTTTCTGCTTATGGTAAGTAGAGATAAGCAATTTGATTGGTTGATGCTTTGGGACACGATAACTTTAGTTCTAATTAAGTGAGAGTGATGAAACTTGGTGTATAGTTTCATTACATCAATACCTTGACTAAGTTCGATGATGAGAATTGTCTGCTTAGGCTAAGGAGCAATAAGCATTTTGATTGGTCAAGACTTTGGAACATAACAACTCTGCTTCTAATTGAGCTAGAATTTTTAAACTTGATGTAGATGTTTGTCTTGACTGAGTTCAATGATTAACATATAACTTTGATTCTATCTGATAGAGAGTGGTGAGACTTAGTGTATAGTTGATAATCAGTTTGATTGCTCGATACTTTTGAAAAAAATAGATGTGCGATTAATTAACATGTGTCATCTATTTATTTGGGGAACTCGGCGTGGGACATTAGCCTCACTGTTGGCTTGTTATTATTATTATGGGTTGTTCTAGAAAATGAAATGGGGTTTGACATCCTACTTTTCGGCATTGACTGGGCGTATGCCATACAGTGTGCTGTGAGGGGAATATTGCCCAGACAGCGGCACATTGATATACACTTAAATCGAATTCCAACTGTCAACGGTTGTTTTACTTGCACGCCAAGGTTTTTCATATCATCTGAATGAAATTTTGCCCGGACGCTGGCGAAATGACATACTCTAAAATTGAATTCCAACTATCAACGGTTGGTTTACTTGCATGCCAAATTTTTTTGTGTCATCTGAATGACTATACATTGTCCCTTGCCTCTGCCCTGCATCACTGACAAGGAGGAACCCTGTCGGAAAACCCTGATGAATTTTCTCTATCCAAACAGGGATCAAATACAGGGTTAGTTTCTTACTCACTGAGCCAGAAGTACATGTAGGTAATTGATTAAGTTCTTGATATGGATAAGAGAGAGATTGGATTTAACGTCCACTCAACACAAACTTGGTCATTTCAAGACTAACATATAGTTCATTATATTTCAATGATTCGCTTGCATGTAGGGGTCTTTAGCAGTGGGAGGAAACCAAAGAACCCAGAGAAAACCCACAAGGTTGGACAGGTGCCCCTACTCCTTGTCACGTACAACCAGAGAATCGAAACCATGCCAGTTGACTGAATGACAGACCTTATGATACAACTCCAACCCATCAAAATTAATTAGAACCCCAACCCCCCGAATTAATTAGCCCGCCCCCACCCTGAATTGAAGACATTGATTAATTATGTTATTAGCACATTAATGTTTGGTAAAAGGGCCAATGGAGTTATGTCTAAATATCTCAAGGTCAGTATATATCTCACTGTACCCTTTTATCTTAGTTATTATATAATCAACCTTAAAGTGAGAGACAGAGAGGGTTTAACATCCACTCGGCACAAACTAGGTCATCTCGGGACTAACATATGGTTTAATTTTATTTCAACAATTTGCTTGCACGTCGGGAGTGTAACTATTTTATCGTTAAACTATTAAATGCGGATGGCCCAGAAAGTTGATTGTGGGCTTGTCATGTTAATAAATGTCTTATTAATAATTTATATAATGTTTGAGGCTACAATAAAGACATGCAATAGGCAGATTTAGCTCTTACAGCGTTTGGTAAATATTCCCTTATTGTTAGTTCATTTTTCATTTTGAGTGCAGATTTTCCGGCGTGGTTTCCCCTTGTCAGTGATGCAGGACGAAGGGCCTGACAAGGACAGCTGTCTAGTCATTCGGATGAGACGAAAAACCGAGGTCCCGTGTACACATTGGCGTACACGTAAAAGATCCCTTGACAGTTGGAATTCGATATAAGAGTAGGCCGTAGTGCCGCTGTCCGAGCAAAATTTCTCTCATAGCACACTGTATGGCGTATGCCCGTCTTCATTAGCCCAGTTCGGAGCAAAACAGTAGGACGTTAAACCCCATTTCATTTCATTTCATTTTTCATTTTGAGTGAAATCTGTTTCCCTAAAAGGCCTGGGACTGTAGCTCAATGAACTCTTACGGCTAGCTCCCGGATTCATTCACTTGATCAGATATGTACGTTTGTTGGTTGTGGTATCTGTTTATTGTGTCCTGTCCATAGGTTTGTCTTGTGTAATTGTTTTTGTGAAATGAAATGAAATGAAATGGAGTTTAACGTCCTACAGTTCTGCTCCTAACCTGGGCTAATGAGGGAAATTTTGCCCGGGCAGCGGCGCAACGGCCTACTCTTATATCGAATTCCAACTGCCAAGGGATCTTTTACGTGCATGCCAATGTGTACACTGGACCTCGGTTTTTCGTCCCATCCGAACGACTAGACAGCTGTCCTTGTCAGGCCCTCCATCCTGCATCACTCACAAGGGGAAACCACGCCGGAAAATCTGAATGAAGTTTCTCGGCCAATGCAGGGATCGAAAATTGTTTTTGTGTGTGGTGCAGTCGCCCTGCACTTACTAATAATGCATCTTTAAAGCGATAATTTCATATTTTTAAGTTATATTTTTAAGTTATATTTTTAAGTTATATTTTTAAAATGTATTAAAATAAAGCCTTAAAATAGATGGTATCTATAAACAGTCCTACCTTGTTAAAGAATAATCCTATTAATCCTATAATTCACTATTGCCAGTTGAGAAATTGGCAAAAATATCATTTTCAACTTCAAATTCAAATGAAATGAGATGAAATGGGGTTTAACATCCTACTGTTCTGCTCCAAACTGGGCTAAAATGAAGACGGGAATTTCAAATTCAAACGTTTGAAGATAGCTATTGATAGGAGGTAATTGTGTTATTATTTTCGGGGTGAATGATTTTTAAGTGTGAGAATGATACCTATGATCGTATAATAGTGAGTTGACAACCTATTGAGCAAAAGACATAGAAATAATTATATTTTGACTTTCTTAGAAAATATGAAATTCTCGCTTTAACATGTTGACACCTAAAACAAGATGTAGGTCACTTTTTCAAAGATACATTATGGGAGATTAGGTAAAGAGCTGCCAGTTATCACTATAATAGTTAAAAACTAGATAATGTAAAGGGAATTTGCTGAAAATATCAGTCAAATTGATCCACTATGAACCGAGAATTTAGCGATTGAATTTTAGGCCTACCCTCTATCATCATTACTAAATTTGGTACTATAAAAAACAAAGTCTCGATTATCGATTCTTGTGTTTATTCATCATGAGTGTTGAACAGCAGATCAGATTCTAACCAATTAAAATCGGACACATAAGATGGCATTGAGAGTTGATTAAGTTAATTAATGTCTAATTAATAATTGAGATAACGTTCAGGCCTAAAGAAAAAGAAAGACCTGCAATAGGCAGATTTAGCTCTTGCATCATGTACATGTATGTTTAAGAATTAGGTAGCTGTATTTTAAATATATTTCACCTTGATTGAATAGATTCACGAATTCCGTAACACAAAATAAAACAAAATTAGGTCATTGTTTCAAATATTTCACCTTGATTGAATAGATTCATGATAACACTTAACCTGTACGATAAAACAAATTGTATTAAAAATATATTTACCTGTATCAAATAGACATTATTGTTATCTTAGATACCACTATTGTTTACATTACAACCAGACATGTCAACCCCCAGGTATGAAAAAACGAGACAAGCATTGAAAAAAACTGGAGAATCCAGGAGATTTTTTTTTTCATCAAATAACTTCATTTAGTTTATATTGATCATAGGCTAATGCTCAAAGTCTTTAGCACTTTTTACACTGTGCACTCGTTTTTGCTGCGTACAACAAATGGAAATTCTTTTTGGGTTTCGAGTTGATAATTTGAATGAATGACAGAAATATTTTTGTTGAAATATTTTGTGAAATGCTACCCAAAGGACTTTAATACGGTACTCCAAATAAGTGTTTTCTCAGTCATATCTGAGTGACTTTATGGTGTAGTTATATGTTTTACATGCCCACATGGAAATATGGTCGTATATTGCCGTCGCTTCCATCTGTACATACACTGTACATCGATCTGTATGTTCATTGTCCACAATTTCTTGTGAACACTCTATAGACTACATTTATCATCTGATTGTTTTGATATATGTTGTTTACATCAGTCAGATGAAGAATCCTATTTGATTTCAATAATTTCTGTTAATTCTTCTATAGGTATGGATATTGTTTCACTTTGTTGAGTGCTCGAATGACAAAAATTATCATCCGATCTGTATTAAATTTATATGCATCATTTAAACCAGTGAAACGAAGAAGCCTTTTGAATTTCAACAATTTTCAATAATTATTCTAGAGTTATGGCCCTTGTTTCTCTTGTGAACCTTGTGAATGATCGAATGACGCAAGTTATCATCCTCTATGTATGACATTTATATGCATTATTTGAATTAGTGAAACGCAGAAGCCTAATGAATTTCAGCAATTTCTTTCAATTACTTCTAGAGTTATAGCCCTTGATTTACTTTGATGAACCTTGTGAACACTTAAAAGCCATCAGTTATCATCCGATCTGTATGAAATTTATATGCATTATTTAAATCCGTAAATAAGTATAAAGTCTGTTGAATTTCAACAATTTCTGTAAATTACATTGAAACCATGCCAGTTGACTTAATGACAGACCTTATGACCTAAAGCACACATATTAGCCCAATCGTCCATCCAACCCTCCCCTATACCATCAGAACAACTAGACAATATGTCAGGGCCTCACGTTGACAGTCAGAAATGAGACTGTTAATGAGTGTTACATGTATTTTTTGTTACTGAACCAAATGAAATGGGGTAGCCTATAGCGTCCTGCTTTTATTTAAGTGAAATTCTTTCAACTCTAGTCATATAAGTATGGGTTGTACATGACAAGGAGTAGGGTTGCCTGTGCAACCTCATGGGTTTTCTCCGGGTCCTCCGGTTTCCTCCCACTGCTAAAGACCCCAACGCGCAAGCGAATTATGGCTATAAAATTGAACCATATAATAGTCCCAAAATAACCTAGTTTGTGTCGAGTGGATGTTAAACCCCATTTCTCTCTCTCTCATATAAGTATGTGTATGCGTGATACAGGCACCGGACGGCCGATAACAAATATTGAACGCAATTAACGTTGCATATTTCACTTCAGCGGTTTTAAAAATCATGTAAAATATTTTTGCCACGTTGTTTCACATTGGCTATGAACGAATCATGTAATAATACATGTAGTCTTCCATTTTGAAACTGAAAAACTGCTGATTAAGTTTTGAATCTGCTAGTCAATTTTGCGAAAAGGGCTAATTTTGTCTCGACAGAACTATGCTCTCATTGATTCCCAGCCTGTTGGTGACAAGAAGTAGGGTCGCCTATCCAACCTCGAGGGTTTTCTCCGGGTCCTCCAGTTTCTTGTATCAGAATTATTGTCATTTCGGTGTTCCCCCACTCCTGAAGACGCCAGTATGCGCCTTTCTCTGTTTTTGTTTATTGTTTACAGTGTTAATTTTTGTGTGGTATATTTTTAGGGTTGGCTTCTATGACAGTACCAGTGTATATAGCAGAGTGTGCCCCATGTCATATCCGAGGTAAAATGGTGACGTTAAATGTATTGTTTATAACAGGAGGTCAGTTTATAGCCAGCGTTATAGATGGTGCCTTTAGTTATATGGACGATGGGTGGAGGTAGGTCAAGGTCAACACAAAGACAGAAATGAGGTTTAAGTCCACTCGTCTTCGATATGGTTCAGATTTTAATTTCAATAATTCAATGGCACATAGGTTTCTTTAGCTGTTGGAGGAAATCTGAGGAACAAAAGAAAAGAAACAAAGCTGGACAGGCAACTCTAATCGTTGTCACGTACAAGCAGGTTATTGACCCCCTCCCCTCCCCCTCCGACTCAATAGCAGACCTTGTGACCTAACATGCACATGTTAAACCATTTGAACGCCACCCTCCACCCAATCAGAAAAAGAATTTCGAAAATGAAATGGGGTTCCACAACTTTCCTTTCTTGAGTTAATGATCCCTTGTCGGTTGGAATTCGATATAAGAGCAGACCGTATCACTGCTGTCCGTGCAAAATTTCACACAGACAGATCTTGAATAGCCCAGTTGGAGCAGAACAGTAGGACGTTAAAAGTTCATTTCATTTCATTTGCATTTGGAGCAAAACTGTAGGATGTTGAACTTCATATCATTTCATTGTATTAAACATATTATTATACGCCCACATTTTCATGTGGACGTATTATGCCGTCGCCCCTGTCAGAAGTCATAATTTTTATCCGATTTAAAAAAACATTCTATTATGTCACCGTTACACCCTAAGGATGACTGGAATCGAATTTCGTGAAAATCGGCCCAAAATTGACCGACAAAATGGCCGCCATTTGTTCCCAAATAGCGTAAGAATATGGTATATCAAGGTTGTGGACCCTATAGGGGTCACAATTTTTATCCGATTTTGTTGAAACTTGAAATGTAAGTTTATAACCCAAAGATCTCGGTTCCTGTCGATATTCGTGCATATCGGACCGTAACTTCCTGAATTATGGCCCCTGATTGTACGAAAAATCACATTTTTAGCTTGTGGACCCTATAGAAGTCATAATTTTTATCCGATTTAAAAAAACGTTCTATTATGTCACCGTTACACCCTGAGGATGACCGAGTTCGAATTTCGTCAAAATCGGCCCAAAATTGACAGACAAAATGGCCGTCGTTCGTTCACAAATAGCGTAAGAATATGGTATATCAAGGTTGTGGACCCTATAGGGGTCACAATTTTTATCCGATTTTGTTGAAACTTGAAATGTAAGTTTATAACCCAAAGATCTCGGTTCCTTTCAATATTCGTGCATATCGGACCGTAACTTCCTGAATTATGGCCCCTGATTGTACGAAAAATCACGTTTTTAGCTTGTGGACCCTATAGAAGTCATAATTTTTATCCGATTTAAAAAACCATTCTATTATATCACCGTTACACCCTAAGGATGACTGAGTTCGAATTTCGTGAAAATCGGCCAAAAATTGGCCCTTGAATTATGGCCCTTGATTGTAGGAAAAATCACTTTCTTGTTAGCTTGTTCTCTATCCATCTCTCGAAAATGTGGGCGTATCCTGCCTGGCAGCCGCTGGTACATTATGCAAGAGCAAAATCTGCTTATTACAAGTCTTTCTTTAGGCCTGAAATGTTATCTAAATTATCAATTAGACATTAATTAACTTATTCAGACCATAATAAACTCTCGATGTCAAGGCTAGCCTTCGATGTTGGCTGGATTAGATTCCTATATGCCGCTAACGGCCGTTGATAATTAAATAAAAAAAAGTGGATAATCGAGACTATGCTGTTTATATTAATGATTTTAGTAATGATGACCAAGACTATGCAAAAATTTCACCCGCTTCTTTCTCGGCTCATAGTGGATCAATTTGACTGAAATTTTCAGCAAATTGCCTTTACACTATCTAGTTTTTAACTATTATAGCGAGAACCGCCATCTCTTTATCTTGTCTCCCATAATGTATCTTTAATTAACCACACCCTTACACCATTGGAGTTATTAAGAGGCTGTTGTGTAATCTTTCATTGGTTAACCATGTTTGTCAGTCAGTCAGCTTTCAAAATAAATTGCGGGGTCACAGTGGCTAAGTGGGTAAGATGCTGGCTCGCTAGCTTGGAGATCAGGTGTTCGATCCCTGCATTGGCCGAGAAAGTTCATCCAGATTTTCCGGTGTGGTTCCCCCCTGTCAGTGATGCAGGTTGGAGGGCCTGACAAGGACAGCTGTCTAGTCATTGGGATGGGTCGAAAAACCAAGGTCCCGTGTACACATTGGCGTGCACGTAAAAGATCCCTTGACAGTAGGTCATAGTGCCGCTGTCGAGGCAAAATTTCCCCCATAGCACACCGTATGGCGTAACCCCGTCTTCATTAGCCCAGTTCAGAGTAGGACGTTAAACCCCATTCATTTCATTTTTTCAAAATAAATTTATTTTTTTTACTCCTGAATGTCAGCATTTAATATTGAATTGTTTTTTTTTATTTTTTCAGGTATATGTTAGGACTTGCCGCGATCCCGGCATTGATACAGTGTATAGGTTTTATATTTTTACCTGAGAGCCCTCGATGGTTGGTCAGCAAAAATAAAGAAGTGGATGCCCGTGACGTTTTAATAGCCATCCGCAATACGAGAAATATTGACCAAGAATTAGACGATATTAAAACTATCTGTGAAGAAGAACGGAGGGCCAAGGCAATTTCTGGTAAAATCAGTTTATTGTGTTATCTTAGTGCTATTATGCTTTGTTTTCATAACATTTTGTGAATGTGGTTTTATTTACAAGACCGTGTGTTTATAAGCTCTATCTGTTATATACTGCTTGTTTAATGTATAGTTTCCCCCTAATCATTTTTCTTTTTCAATATCAGGGTGGTTTTAAGGTTCATGTACAACTATATCCTTGTCATCACAAGGTGCTTTTCAGGTCTTTGATGTTAAATATGTCTGTTAATTGGTTGAACTCTTCTAATGATTAGTAATAAGAATGGTTTCGCATTGTACATATATATAGACCCTCAAGTTTACTAAATGTCATTGTGCTTCATAACGATAAGAGAATACTTATCGAAACGTCGTGCTTGTGTATAATAAACCAGTGATTGTTGTCCCATATAACTGTATAGTTTTGTTATGTTTCCAATTGCTAAATGCCACTAAAGGATTATAAAATCACAACCATTTATAATTTCCTGGATAAATTATGGTAATATCAGGAGAGGAATAACGATTTCGGTCTCTGGATCGTTTTTTTTTAGATTTTTAAGGTGAACTTTTTGAGATTGTTTGACGAGGTATTAAGAAATTCAGAATAATTCCCTGATAAGGATGTGAAAAACAAATAATTCTCAGATACGAACACATCACTTAAAAAGAGAGAGAGAGTTATAAATGGGGTTTATCATCCACTAGACATAAACTATAGGTAATTTCGGGACTAACACATGGTTCAATTTTATTTTAATAATTCGCTTGTGCGTAGGGGTCTTTAGCTGAGGGAGGAAACCAAACGACCTAGAGAAAACCTGAGAGGTTGGGCAAGAGACCCTACTCCTTGTCATGTACAACCAGGGAATCGAAACCACGCCAGTTGACTCAATGACAAACCTTATGATCCAGTGCCTACTTGCTAACCATTTGGTCATCCAACCCACTTTGAATAAAATGATTCAACTTTAACTTCTGTTCATTTTCATGTAGTGTTATTCTGTTTCTGTGTTTTTCAGGGGGAGGTCTGACAATTATTAGAATGTTAAAAAATTCCAATATGAGGAAAGCATTAGTGGTTGGGTGTGGTCTTCAGCTCTTCCAACAACTAAGTGGTATCAATACGGTCATGTAAGTTCAACAAATTAAATCTTGTGTATTATTCGGATTCAAAAAGATATCTGCCGAAATAATCCTGATGGGAATATGATTTTCTTAATCCTTTATCTGTTAAAGTTACAATTTCATATTTTTAAGGTATATTTTTAAAATTTATTAGAATAAAGCCTTAAAATAGATGGTATCTATAAACAGTCCTACCTTGTTAAAGAATAATCCTATTAATCCTATAATTCACTATTGCCAGTTAAGAAATTGGCAAAAATATCATTTTCAACTTCAAATTCAAATGTTTGAAGATAGCTATTCCATGAGGGGAATACGAAAACAAGGGAGGTAATTGTGTTATTATTTCCTGTGTCAATGATTTTTAAGTGTGGGAAATAATGCCTATGATCCATGGATGTCATTAGAAGCCGGCAACCGGCAAATTTCGCCGTTTACATTAGGCCAATTTCCGGCTACTTTTCAGCTAAAAAAGATCAGCAATTTAATTTTAATAAAATAATTTGGCATTATATTAATTGAAACTAATTTAATTCCCTAACGCAAAGCACACAGACGTATCAACTAACCAGTTTTTTCCGTGATACTCAAAGATGTACGACCTTTCTCCCCATCTCCCGCACGGAAGGCTATTTCTCACGGTAAATGTTCATAATTATGCCAATGCTAGTTTTACTTTCAAAAAGGGAGGTAACCCCCTTACTTCCGTTTTATAAATCAACCTCATGATTCTTATAAGTATATTGTAATCAATAGGTACATGAGCGTACCTAATAAAATAGAGACCTGTACTACCTGTACAAGGTCCTTTCCCTTACTGTCATTTTTCCTCATATCTAGTAGTAAACGTCTATACGATTTTGACAGTTCTCCCATGAACAGAAAACGTTTCACGCTACGTGACTTGAGCGTGAAATCGAAAGCCATTGGCATTGAGTGATCGACTGAAATTTAGCTGACTTTCAATCTGAGATTTTAGATTACTTTTTCGTTTAAATATATTACTACCGGTTGTATTATAATGCTTTGATATCGATCTCAATATACGAAAATAGTCGGACTCAAAAGTTATAGAAATATAAACTCTATTACTGTTTATGTGGGAGGCACTCGGATGTCACGTTTCCAGGGATTTCCATTCACGCGATTACACCCATAATTAGAAAACGGGATTTATCGGTTTTGCAGACTAAAATTTGCTAATTCCGAATAAATGCAGCCTGTCTTTTATCTGGTATCATGAAGATTAAAAATAGTGTATATATTTTTCAAATTGTTACGATTTTATAAGTTTTAGCAAAGCCTAAACTAATATTCACAGATTTCAGTTTTAAAATTTGTAGACGTGCAATTCTATAATAAGGCTTATCTTAAGACCATACTCAGATATGACTGAAAAGCACTTATTTCGATTATTAATGGTTTTTTTGGATAGATTTTTTATGTATATTTTCACAAAATGTTTTAAAAAAACCTTTCTGTCATTTAAAATATTGACCCGAAATGCACTTAACGCCATAACACACTCCCCACCCTTCGGTTTGCCTGCAGATTCAGGCCTGAGGCCCTAAACATTTGCTGCCCCTTACTTTAGCAAAATTTCCTGTTACTTGAAAAGTTAGTGACGTCCCTGCTATGATCGTACAATAGTGAGTTGATAACCTATTGAGTAATAGACATACAAATAATTATGTTTTGACTTTTTTAGAAAATATGAAATTCTCTCTGTTAAAGATACATTGCTAATATAACATACATTTGTCTTGTAATTTATTTGTGTGTGGTGCAGTCCTTAATTCATCTTTAACATGTTGACACCTAAAACAAGACGTAGGTCACTTTTTTAAAGGGGATTTATGGGAGTTCTCACTATAATAGTTAAAAACTAAGGGAATATGCTGAAGATATCAGTCAAATTGCTTCACTCTAAGCCGCGAAAACCTTATTTTGAAATCTTTGTAGCCTCCATTGTCAATTTTAGCACTGTCACTCACTGTCAAAATAATTAACAAAGTCTTGATTATCCATTTTCGAGTTTAATCATCAACAGACGTTGAACAGCAGATCGGATACTAATCCAATGAAAATCGGACAGATAAGATGGTATTGAGAGTTCATTAGGTTCCGGTTCTTTTCATGTTAATAAAAGTCTAATTAATAATTTGGATAACATTTCAGGCCTAAAGAAAGTCCTGCAATAGTCAGATTTAGCACTTACATAATGTATGTTTAAATTTACTTTGAGAATGAACAGACATGTGTTTTAAAGTGACAATACCACTCTCACTGATAAACATAATAACATTAATTTGCATAATGTATGTTTAACTCTTTCTATTCCATTGCTTACTAGTCCATGGTACATGCTTAGTTAGCTGCCTAATTAATGAAAATCTGATTTTGCTAATGGCTAGTATTAAACATACATTATGCAAGAGCTAAATCTGCCTATTTCAGGTCTTTCTTTAGGCCCGAAATGTTATCTAAATTATTAATTAGACATTAATTAACCTATCCAGGCCATAATCAACTCTAGATGGCAGCGCTAGCCTGCGATCTTTAGTGAATTGTAAGCCGATGATTTACTGCATAACTTTCCTTCTCGATTAAATGATTAAATGGATAATCGAGACTATGCTGTTTATCGTACTGACTTTAGTAATGATGATCGAGGCTAGGCGGAAATTTCAATCGCCTAGTTCTTGGTTCATAGTGGATCAATTTGAATGAAATTTTCAGCAAATTGCTTTTACATTTTCTAGTTTTTAACTATTATTTATAGTGAGAACTACCAACTTGTTACCGAATCTCCCATAATGCATCTTTAATCAATAAACAAAGAGGTAGAAATAGGGTTGAACCTTCACCAGACACAAACTACGTGATTTCAGGTCGAACATATTTCAATAATTTGCTTGTGCATAGGGGTCTTTAGTAGCAGGAGGAAAACCCACGAGATTATTGGACAGACGACCCTACTCCTTCTCACGTACAACCTGGAAATCGAAACCACATTAGTTGACTCAATGACAGACCTTATGATATAACAACGCACACAAGCTAACCATTCAACCATCCAACCTCCGGAGGAAACTGGAGGACCCGGACAAAACCCAAGAGGTTGGACTACATGCTACCATACTCGTTGTCACGTACAACCTGGCAATCAAAGCCATGCCACCTGACTCGTTGACAGACCTTGTGACCTAAAGTGCCCCATCTTATTTATGTCATTTAATTGAAAAACAAACAAATGCTCGTAGTCTCCGTAGTTCAAATGACATCTATCGTCTCAAGCCAAGATCTGCTAGAATGGTTACATATGGTGAAAGATCCTTTTTATTTTTTACCCCAAACCTGTGGAATAATTTAAAACCATCTGGTTCTGATACTGATATTCGTTCCTGCCCCTCGGTACAATCTTTTAAATGTGCTCTTAAAACTTACTTATTCAAAAAAGCTTTTACTTAGATATATATTATTGTATTATATTGCATCTTTTTGTAGTCTTTTAGTTGTTTTTATTTTTTATTTTACTGGTATATGATTGTACTCATTGTTTTGTAAAGCGCTTCTGAACACCGTTGGTGAAACTAGCGCTATATAAATGTTTAATAATAATAATAATAATAATAATAAATAAATATGAAGGAATGTATAAATGTGTTTTTCAGGTATTACAGTGCATCTATAATTAAAATGGCGGGCATATCAAATGAACACGAGGCTATCTGGTTGTCAGCGGTTACATCTAGTATAAATTTTATCTTTACGTTAGTGGGTGTTTGGGCTGTGGATAGATTTGGTAGAAGACCACTCATTCTTACAAGTTTGTTAGGTAAATATTTTCTACTCTATCTGTAACTTCAGTGAATTAAACTGAAAGTATTTGAAATGCTTCTTTTTTGATTTTCCTTTTGTACGAAATGTAATATTTTCTGGTGATATAGATTAAGCTAAAACATTGATGAAAACTAGCTGAGCAGCCAGTTGTGTTTCTGTAAATTGACAATAGTCATTTGGCAGGGTAATATCTAGAATTAAAAGTAAACTGTCTAGAGGGGATTATTTTTTACACTAAGTTATATTGTTCATATTTTAGCGGTTAAATTTTTTATATTGTAGGGTTGAAGGCATGGTCTTGTTAATATTTAACGGGTTATATTGTTTATATTTTAGGGGTTATATTGTTTATATTTTAGGGGTTAAGTTGTTTGTATTTTAGGGTTTAAATTGTTTATATTTTAGGGGTTATAATCAGCTGTATTGTATTAGCTGTTGGATTTCAACTAGCAGCCATTAATTCACCACATGTCAGTCAATATGAAATGATTGGAGATAACTCTTCATGCACTCGATACAGGTGAGGTTATGATTGGAGATAACTCTTCATGTATTCGGTACAGGTGAGTTTATGATTGGAGATAACTCTTCATGCACTCGATACAGGTGAGTTTATGATTGGAGATAACTCTTCATGTACTCGATACAGGTGAGTTTATGATTGGAGATAACTCTTCATGTACTCGATACAGGTGAGTTTATGATTGGAGATAACTCTTCATGTACTAGATACAGGTGAGTTTATGGTCAATCCACTACAACTTGGGTATCATATAGTTGTGTTATTTTAGCAGGAGTTTCGGTATTCCTTGTCAGCCCCTCCGTCCTGCATCACCGGCGTGGTTCTCCCTTGTCAGTGATGCAGGACAGAGGGGCTGACAAGGAAAGCTGTCTAGTCGTTCGGATGGGACGAAAAACCGAGGTCCCGTGTACACATTGGCGTGCACGTAAAAGATCCCTTGGCAGTTGGAATTCGATATAAGAGTAGGCCGTAGTGCCGCTGTCCGTTCAAAATTTCCCTCATAGCACACTGTATGGCGTATGCCTGTCTTCATTAGCCCAGGTTAGGAGCAGAACAGTAGGACGTTAAACCCCATTTCATTTCATTTCATTTCTGTATTTAATGTTTAATTTCAAACTATTGTTAAAAAACCATTCAAATCTGTTGAGAATGATAGAAAACCATTGGGTTTCTACTGTTGTGTAGTTTAAAGGGTCTGTCTAGATTAGATAATGAGTGTTGGTTTATAACTGTTTAGTTTCTAGAGAAGTGTTGAGTGATTAATTAGTCTGTTAGTCTGTTAACAAGACAGAAAATTTTGCTTAGATAACTGCTGTTCTGCTTTACTTACTTATCTTTGAATTCCAGTCGACTTTGGGATCTTTTCTGTTTAACAGAGGTCGAGTGGATACTGCCCTCAGTAATTTTGAGATTAACATACATTTTGAATTTCTACAGTGCAATATATACAAGGCAGGAAATTTTGCTCAGACAGCAGCGTATAGGCTGGGGGTTTGATGGCCGAATGGTTAGCACGTGCATGCTGTATCATAAGGTCTGTCATTGAGTCAACTGGCATGGTTTCGATTCCCCAGTTGTATGTGACAAGGAGTAGGGCCGCCTGTCCAACTTCGTGGGTTTTCTCCGGGTCCTCCGGTTCCCTCCCACTGCTAAAGACCGCTATGCGCAAGCGAATTATTGAAATAAAAATAAAAGATATGTTAGTCCCGAAATGACCTAGTTTGTGTCGAGTGGACGTTAAACCCCATTTCTCCCTCTCTCTCTCTCTCTCGCCATGGGATCTTTCATGTGCACTGCCACAATTTGTACACATGACCCTGTACTTCCATTCGATCCATACTGCTAATCCTACTTCCATGACCAGTGAGATCCAGTCTGCTCACACCACATCAGGATTCATGACCTGACCAGTGAGACCCTGTCTCTTAAAATGGCAAAATGTCCCTCATAGCACACTGAATGACAAAAGTCTGTCTTCATTAGCCCAGTCTGTGTAGAAAAGTAGTACGTTAAACCCCATTTCATTTCATTTTGATGATGATTATTGTAATTTGATTTTGACTATGATTATCATAATTTGACTATGGTTATTGTAATTTGACTATGGTTATTTTAATTTAACTATGGTTATTGTAATTTGGTAATTTGATGATTATTTTAATTTGATTGTGGATGTTGTAATTTGATTGTGGATATTGTAATTTGATTTATATTATTGAAATTGGATTATGATTATTGTAATTTGATTTATATTGTTGTAATTTGATTATTGTTATTGTAATTTGATTATTGTTATTGTAATTGGATTATGATTGTAGTTATTGTGAGAACTGTATAGAAGATACAAGTTGTGGTTTTTGTTTTACGGAATCTGGTGAAGGACGTACAAACGGATCCTGTTTATCAACAAGATCAACAGATAACACACATTCCATCTACGGGCGATGTAATAACACAGATTTACCCGGTGATTTGGTCTGGGCGTATGAATACTGTCCTACATCTTACTCGTGGATCATACTTCTAGGTCTAGTGTTATATTTGATGTGTTTTGCCCCAGGTAAGAATTAAAGTTTGTTGTGATATAAGAGCATAACGGGATCAACAGTAGATCCATATATATATAGAGAGAGAGAGAGTATGGTCAACTGTTCTTTTATATTCCCACATGTATATTGTCGTTGCCCCTATTCCGTCCTTCCACAATTGGGGGGTTGGATGGCTCTATGGTTAGCGTGCGCGCGCTGTATCATAAAGTCTGTCATTGAGTCGACTGGTGTGGTTTCGAGTGCCCGGTTGTACGTAACAAGGAGTAGGGTCACCTGTCCAACCTCGTGGGTTTTCTCCGGGTCCTCCGGTTTCCTCCCACTGCTAAAGACCCCTACGAGCAAGCGAATTATTGAAATAAAATTAAAATATATGTTAGTCCCGAAATGACCTAGTTTGTGTTGAGTGGACGTTAAACCCCATTTCTCTCTCTCCATCCACAATTTGTTTGTGGACACTGCAGTTCACAATTTTCATCCGATTTTGACGAAAGTTGAAATATAGGTATATCTCCCAAGGATCTTGGTTCCTTTCGCTATTGGCATTTATTGGACCGTAACATCATGGATTATGACCCCTGATTGTATGAAAAATCTTAGAGGTCACAATTTTTATCCGATTTTGAAGAAACTTGAAATGTAAGTTTACAACACAAAGGTCTCAGAGCCTTTCTATATCCGTGCATATCGACAACAGCTTCCTGGATTATGGCCCCTGATTGTGCGAAAAATCTTGTTTTTGGCTTATGGTGTTTCTGGAGGTTACAATTTTATCCAATTTAAAACAAAACATTCGAATATATCACTATTACACCATAAGGATGGTTGAGTTTGAATTTCTTGAAAATCGGACTGAATCTGCTCGACAAAATTGACGCAAATAGTGTTAAAGCACACGTATGTAATATCAAGGTCACAATTTTGATCTGATTTTGATGAAACTTAAAATATAGTTTTAAGTCTGCATATCAGACCATAACTTCCTGGATTATCGCCCCTGATTGTTTGAAAAAATTTAGAGGTCACAAATTGTATCCAGTTTTAAAAATCGTTTACATATATCACTGTTACACCCTAATGAGTTTGAATTTCATGAAAATCTGACTAAAACTGACAGACAAAATGGTTGCTCCTTATGCGCAAACAGTGTAAAAGTATGCAATACCAGAGTTGTGGACCCTCTAAAGGTAACAATTTTTATCTGTTTTTGAGGAAACTTAAAAGGGTTAACTGGGGAAGTCAATATTTACATGTACCTGGTGTTAAAGGGTTAACGTAATACATGTAATTATTTTGTTTAGGTATGGGACCAATGCCATGGACGTATAATTCTGAAATATATCCATTATGGGCACGAAGTACAGGCAATTCTTTTTCGTCCGCAACGAACTGGCTCAGTAATTTACTAGTTTCCATGACATTCCTAACATTAACAGAAACACTAACCAAATATGGTAAGTAATTTTTATATACATCAGTCCATTGTCTGTTTGATGTAGTCTATTTATAGCAATTTCTAAAGTATGCTGAAGCTATTTGAATCATTTAGCTTATCTGTTAGAAAGTAGATTAGAACCTATATTGAATAGAAGACTTGATCTCGCTTTAACTCAGTACATCTTATCAAGACCTTCACATAATACCTGCATATTTTGGCACTAATTTCGATTGGGTACTGACCCGGCTTGAGAGCCTATCTAGTAGGGTACTGACCTCGACCAGACTGTCTCAGGTTTTAATGCCAGCATCCTCCAAGAATAATCTTCCAGATTTTGCAATCCTGGTGATTGTGTAGTAATATGTATTTTATTTACAGGTACATATTGGTATATTGTATATTTGGTATATTGTATATTTTTAGATACATATTGGTATATTTACAGGTACATAATGGTTACATGCTGGTATATTTACAGGTACATAATGGTTACATGTTGGATTGTTTACAGGTACATATTGGTATATTGTATATTTACAGGTACATATTGGTTATTTGTTGGTATTTGTTTAGTGGCTCTGGTCTTCTTTACCTGTGTTTTACCTGAAACTAAGGGGAGACAACTAGAAGATGTGGAAACATTGTTTCAAGAACCTTGGTGTAAATGTTGTTCAAATAAAAGTCGTGTGGATTACGTGGCAAGATAACAAACAATATTCGTGATTCGGTAACCGAAAACAACATGCTCAAATATACATAATACAATTATACATAATGCAAATATACACAAATGCAATTATACATAATGCAAATATACATAAATGCAATTATACATCCAATAACACACTATTTATGGACAACGATTACTATGGTTTATTTCACTGCGACGTTTCAACAAGATTTCACAAATCGTTATATGCTCGATAATGACTTATGAAATCTTGTTGAAACATGGCAGTGAAATAAACCATAGTAATTGTTACCCATAAATAGTATGTTATTTGATTATGTTCCAATTACTAAATGTCATTCAAACAATGCAATTATACATAATGAAATTTTACATAATGAAATTATACATAATGCAACTATACATAATGCAACTATACATAATGCAACTATACATAATGCAAATATACATGATGTTATTCAATCCCTTGGCAGCTGAAATTGTTTTCTAAAGGATAATACAATGTGATTCTAAATTCTTATTAAATTCTATGAGTGCAAAGTTCAAATTATAGTAAAAGCTCCTTGAGTTCAAATTCTACAAACTATGAGTTCAATTTATTTGACCGTCGAATTGAAATTGTATGCACTATTTTAAATTATATGAGCTCCAAGTTCAAATTGTATGAATTCTTAGTTCAAATTGTATGAGCTCCGAGTTCAAATTGTATGCACTATTCTAAATTATATAATCTTCAAGTTGAACTTATGTAATCTCTGGGTTCAAATTACAAGAGTTCCGAGTTCAAATTATGTGAGTTCTTGAGTTCTTATTGCAAGAGCTGTTAGTTCAACTTGCACAAGTCCGAGTAAATGAGCTTAATTTATATTGTATAAACTCTGAGAATATGAGTGGATATAACCTGTATTTAATTTGAATCTTGAAAGCTTGACAGATATTATAGCTGGTCAGAGATTTGTTTTATAATATTATTTTTATTATTTATAATCTTATCTTGGGTAGAAATTGATATTGAATTTAGACTGTCAGAACAGAAACCAACCAGAGCTACACTAGATAAAATGTTATGTATTCAACATCAACAGGGTGTTTCTTTGGACATAAGTAGTTTTTACTTTCCTAGACACAACAATATAAAAACTATTCTAGTTCAAAATACCACAGCTTCACTTAAACAGGCATTATGCAAGAGCTAAATCTGCCTATCGCAGGTCTTTCTTTAGGCCTAAAATGTTATAGAAACTATTAATTAGACATTATTTAACTTAAGCAGACATTAATCAACTCTCGATGCCATCTCGATTTTCACTGGATTTGAATCATATTTTCTGCTCAATTCTCATTGATGACTAAATGCAAAAATGGATAGTCGAGACTATGTTTTTTATGGTAATGATGATCAAGACTAGGCCTAAAATTCAATTGCTAATAGCTCTGTTCAGAGTGGAGCAATTTGACTGAAATGTTCAGCATATTCCCTTTACATTATCTAGTTTTTAACTATTATAGTGCAAACTGTCAGCTCTTTATCTAATCTTCCGTAATGCCCCTTTAATGATATGCTAATTGGGCTGTTTCGAAATATCTAGAAATGATTTCAAGATTACATTTGTAGAAATATACATATCTTGTCACGAGATTAAAATATGCAGACACACTAGGTGTATCCATCATATCCCCCACATTCTTCCTCTGATTCATTTGTAGATCCCACCATTAGTTAAACTACCCAACTTAATAAATGACCCCATATATAAGGTGAATCTGATAACCGACAGCTTGAGATTTACCCCAAATCACGAAAAATATGGAAAATGGGATAGGTTTCCTATCACTTTATACAACATGTTTTTGGTAATAATGTGTCTTTCACTTCTTGCACTGCTCCCGATTGTATGTTTCAAAGAGTAGGGTCACCTGTCCAACGTCGTGGGTTTTCTTCGGATTTTTCCACTGCTAAAGACCCCAACATCTAAATAAAAACTGAACCATATGATAGTCCCGAAATGATCTATGATATGGTTACCCCCCCCCCTCTCTCTCTCTCTATAAATTCGTCATATATCTAGTGCTGACAGAAACAAGTGGTTGCCATGCAAGATACTCCCACATTTTTCGTACAATCAGGGGTCATAATCCATGAGGTTACGGTTTGAAATGCACGAATATCGTAAGGAACCAAATATTTTGAGCGATGTATGCATTGATCGTAACCGCCGTACTGGCCATTCGAGTCTTAGCCTAGCTTCTCCATTTTTAAATAAAATCATTACATGACCAACCGATCTAATCTACTTAAAATCGGAACCATCCGATGGCATCGAGAGTTGCTTCTTGTCATGTTAATAAATATCTACTAATTAATAATCTATATAACATGTAAGGCCCACAGAAAGGCCATACTCCTCGCAGTGTTCAGTTTGATTAGAGCTAATCCCACTACTCACTGCTAGATTGAGGGAACATTCTTGTCCTAAATTATGATTGATTGATAGTCCCATTAACAACCAATCGCTGACTGCGTTACAAAGGCATTACCTTTAAAACAGTGCGTCAAATTATGCCACCTGTGTTTACATAACTTTACGTCATGGCTGCACGTTTTTTTATGCTCAATTAACCAGCGCATAGCAGGATATTGCAGTAAAACTAATTGCGTGACAAACGAGGCTATCGGGATTGACATAAAGTAAACACCACTGTATGGAAACGAACAGACTTTCACCGTTTTTAATACCTTAAATCTTTGTCCAAAGTTTTATGGAAGACCCAAGATTAAACGAAGGACTGTCATGTTACTGTGCTTAAATGATAGATTTGATTGAACGAGAAGAATAGACACACTTCCTCAAAAGCTCAAGTATCAGAAGCCAATCCAGCAATGGCTAGAGAAGGATTTCTCGGGTCATTGCTTCAGGAATATGCAGAAAGGCCTGCTATAGACAGATTTAGCTCTTACATAATGTCTGTTTAACTAATCACAGCAGTTCCATAATTATAATTATTTCGTGTGTTATTATTAGTTAGACAGTGATTCTCAACCAGTGTACCGTGAAATTTTCCTAAGTGTGCCACAAAATTTTGAACGGCACACTAAGAAAACTTCTCACTAAAGAAACCAGCTATTCGAATTACTGATGAAATTCGAAATACTGCAATAAAGTAAGTTCATAGCTGTGTTTTTCTTTATTTAGTTTGAGTCATTCTGTGTGCCTATTACTAGTCTGTGTCTACGGTTGAATGCCGTCTATGACGTACCATGTTTTTATTTTGCAAAATTCAAATATTTTAAATATATATTTAGCCAGGTGTGCAGCTATTTTGTTCATGTGTTCCAAGGCGTGTCGTTGGCAAAAAAGGTTGAGAATCACTGTGCTAGATGAATATGTTACATATCACGTGCCTTCTCAAATTGTTATTTTTGATATCTATATATGTGTATGTTACTGGAATTCGAGGTTTCATGAAATTCCTGACATAATCAGGGATTTTGTATACCCCCCCCCCACCACCACCACCACCACCAATGGTCATGATACGGGTTTGGGTGATCATAAAGGTCTATGATTGAGTCAGGTGTTCCGGTTTTCTCCCACTGCTAATGACCTTACACGCAAGCGAACAATTGTATATCTTAGTCCCTGAATGACAGCTTGTGTCGAGTGGACGTTAAACCCCATTTTTCTCTCTGAAATTGTGACCACACCCTGTTCATCTGATAAACCTACTGGATATGCCTAATAAAGACATATTCAAAAATGGGGAGGTTCGACACCCGACCGGGCAGCCAGCTTGATGCAGCGCCATGGATACGCAGCTGTTTATGATATTTTTGACTTTTTTTATTATCTAGTTTATAGAGTTTTTGTAACTGGTTGATCGTGACTATCCACGATAACACGATGGCGTTGTGGTGTAAGCATGCATATCATCACTCAGTTAAATCTAATTACTATAGTAGATGTTTAAGGCCCCTGGGCCTTTTGTTATATGTATATGTTTTGTTTTATATAACAATAAAATTGTTATCTTAATCAAATTTTCATCATTTTGAGTATTTATAATACAATGTTAAAAATAAAATGGCTTGGCGCCAGTGATCTCTCTACTTACCACCCATAGTCCTTCGGATAGAACCAAACATCCCAATCCATTTTAATTATGGTTTGGCGCCAATGATTTCTGTATACACTCAAAGATCACCTGTTCAATCTCGAGGGTTTTCTGCTGATCCCCCGCTTTCCTCTCACTTCTAAAGACCCCTACGAGCATGCGAATTATAGAAATAAAGTTGAACCCATTATGTTAGTCCCGAAATGACCTAGTTTGTGTCGATTGAACGTTAAACCCCATTTCTATCTGTCGCTCTATACACACTTATATAGTCCTGCAGATCATATAAAAATCGGAAATTTTGCCCGGACAGCGGCGCTACGATCTACGCTTGTATCGAATTCCGACTGCCAAGAAATCTTTTACGTGCGCGCCAGTGTGTACGGGTGACCTCGGTTTTCCGTCCCAAACGAACGACTACATTTTATAGAACACAACACAACACGATCTGAAGGATGGCCGAATGGGTAGCGCGTGTGCTTTGCATCATAAGGTCTGCCATTCAGTCAACTGCCGTGGGGCTTGTCCGGGTCCTACGGATTTCTCCCACTGCTAAAGCCCATACGCGTGATCGAATTATTAAAATATATTTGAACCATATGTTAGTCCCGAAATAGCCTAGTTTGTGTCCAATGAACGTTACCCCCCCCCCCCTCTCTCTCTCTCTCTCTCCACACAACGCGATCAACCTTTACATGTCTCTCTTTAAACAGATAAAACAGGCAGAAATGTTTAAAATAAATACTAAAACAACATGACACATGCACAGTGTAAACAACAAACAATGTTAAAATTACCGACATTCCTGATTCATAAAAACAACAACACCCATTGTAGTAAATGGGAAATACCTACACTGGAATTTAAGGAAAACCCTAGGCAATATTTGGACAGAAATGATAACATCATTCTAAAGAAATGTTGATATAATTCGAGACAAATGGCCACACCGAGGAAACACCATATATAGTAAAACAACAGGTATGTGAATTAACAGGTAAATTTGTCAACCAACAGAAGAAAATTATCGGTATTCCAAAGTATATTGGTGTAATGTCCGACGTGTTTAGTGTGATTTGGGATTCCGTGTAGACATGATCCAAGACTGGATCTTTTGGAAAAGATAAGGTAAGTGCTAATCTGAATAATATACATAGAGGATATTTGTCGTTTTAGAGTGAATAACATATTTTATTTCATCGAGAAGCAAGAAAACTTATATTTTCACGAATGCGTAGCATGAGTGAAAATATAAACGTTTTCTTGCTTAGAGATTCGGTGTATACCGTCTATTTTCCCAGCAATTTATTTCCGTATTTCTGGCACAAATATCAGACAATGGGTAACATTTAAATTGTTTTTGCTTAACATAATGTAAATTTTTATTGTTGTGTAATTGTGTAAATAATTAGAAATAAACAACCATCACAGCTTGAAAATTCGTTTTAGTTATTGATTCATTCATTCAGAAAATTCGGGTGACAAAGCAAAGAAAATTTTCTGGCAAATAGCCTCAGCCCGCCAACTTAGATTCATCCAATGATTGTTGATGGCAAAAGTTTGTTTCAAACTATTTGATTTTGGGGTTGGATGGCTAAATGGTTAGCACGTGCGCGGTGTATCATAAGGTCTGTCATTGAGTCAACTGGCGTGATTTCGAATCCCCGGTTGTACGTGACAAGGAGTAGGGTCGCCTGTCCAACTTCGAGGGGGGGGGGGTTGGATGGCTGAATGGTTAGCACGTGCGCGCTGTACCATAAAGTCTGCCATTGAGTTAACTGGCGTGGTTTCGAATTCCCGGTTGTACGTGGCAAGGAGTAGGGTTGCCTGTCCAACCTCGTGGGTTTTCTCCGGGTCTTCCCAGTGCTAAAGACCCCTACGCGCAACCGAATTATTGAAATAAAATTAAACCATATGTTAGTCCCGAAATGACCTAGTCGAGTGGACGTTAAACCCCCTCTCTCGCGCTCTCTCTCTCTCAGTTTATTTCCTTATGATAGGGGGTAGTTTTTAGTCACAAATCTCCGCCGTTCTCAAAGCCGTATTATATCGTTTGATATATGGCTGTTAGGACAAGTCTGCATGGGTTCCACCAAATCCCAATCTCTTTTATAGGTGCCTACACGTCATAGACTTACTAAATTCCCAAATATGGAATAGATACCAGCAGGAGTTATTGCTTAATTAGTCCAATAAAATACTTTTTATCACCGTTGATGCCGTTTCATAGAGAAGAGAGGATACGATTTATTTTGACATCAAATAAGATGTGTTTATCAAACTGTACATCATCCATTTCCGTTGGTCTATACACTTGGTCAAGGACATAATATGGTCTGAGAGACAATATTATTACACTCCCTATGCCATGGCGTATGTCCGTGTTCATTAGCTCAGTCGAGGCAGAACAATATGATGTTAAACCCCATTTCATTTTATCTCATTGGTAGTCATTTATTCACACACAGGATATTTGGATCGATATATTACCTACATAACATATGCATTATATCACGATGAAACTGACAATGTATATCCTAGGATACCACATGCAGGTAGGGATGCCACAGGTAGGGATGCAGAAGTTTGAGAAACTTTATGATTTTTCTTCGCAATGCCCAGAAAGATGGCGAGAGAGAGAGAGAGAAGAGAGAGAGAAATGGAGTTTAACGTCCACTCGACACAAACGAGGTCATTTCGGGACTAACATATGGTTTAATTTTATTTCAATAATTCGCTTGCGCGTAGGTTTTTTTTTAGCAGTGGGAGGAAGCCAGAAGACCCTAGAAAACCCACGTGGTTGAACAGAAGATGGCTAGAATACAAATAAAAATATTCTCCTTCTCGTACTGGCTCTATTTAACCATATTGGCTAGCTTTCAAATTTCTTCTCTTGACGCGGGGTGGATGGCCGTGTGCTTTGTATCATAAGGTATGTCAATGAGTCAACTGGTGTAGTTTCGATTCCCCGGTTGTACGTAACAAGGAGTAGGGTCGTGAGTTTTCTGAGGGTCCTCCGACCCTAAAGATCCCTACGCGCAAGCGTATTATTAAATTAAAAAGTGAACCATATATTAGCCCCGAAATGACGTTGAAGTGGACGTTAAGCCCCCCCCCCTCTCTCTCTCTCTCTCTCTCTTTCTCTCTTCGCGCTTGGCAATTTAGATCGCCTATTTATATCTGTTAGTAATGTGTAATATCTATAAATAGTCACTGGGAAGTCCATTATATGAATATATTACACGTACATTGATTCCGTGCAGATGCCAGGTTGACCCGTCAAATATATATATACAACTATTGTACAAGGTTAGATGAACTATTTATTATAATAACATCATTCATTCATTCATTCATTCATTTGTTCATGAAACAATTTAGAGATATTCACATATTAAATTAACAACCATACATATCCAAATATCTGCTACAGGTCATTTCTAATTAACATTTTCAATATCATATTTTCTGTAATTTTCAAGTGGGACACGTATGTATATAAAATCGCACGTAATAAACATGCGTGGATCAGGCTGTTGTGTACACATCATAACATTTTGATAAAATCATGAAATACTGGCAGACAATAGTCCCCACCCACCTAAGTTTGGTGTCTGGGGTGTAAAATTCTTACTGTCCTCCATTATACGGGTGGTATACCAATTCTTACTGACCTACTTCGTAAGGTTGGTGTACCACTTCTTACTGTCCCCCATTGTAATGATGGTGTACCAATTCTTACTGTCCCCCATTGTGAGGTTGATGTACCAATTCTTACTGACCTACTTCGTAAGGTTAGTGTACCACTTCTTAAGGATGGTGTACCAATTCTTACTGTCCCCCATTGTGAGGTTGATGTACCAATTCTTACTGTCAGCCATTGTAAGGTTGGTGGACCAATTCCTACTGTCCTATATTGTAAGGTTGGTATACCAATTCTTACTGTCAGCCATTGTGGGGTGGTATACCAATTATAACTGTCCTTCATTGTGGAGGTTGGTGTGCAATTCTTACTATCCCCCATTGTAAGGTTGGTGTAACAATTCTTACTATCCCCCATTGTAAGGTTGGTGTACCACTTTTTACTGTCACCCATTGTAAGGATGGTGGACCAATTCTTACTATCCTCCATTGTAAGGATGGTGTACCAATTCTTACTGTCATCCACTTTAAGGATGGTGGACCAATTCTTACTATCCTCCATTGTAAGGTTGGTGGACCAATTCTTACTATCCTCCATTGTAAGGTTGGTGTAACAATTCTTACTGTTTTCCATTGTAAGGATGGTGTACCAATTGTTACTGTCCCCCATTGTGAGGTTGATGTACCAATTCCTACTGTCAACCATTGTAAGGTTGATGTACCAATTCTTACTGTCCTCCATTGTAAGGCTGGTGTAACAATTCTTACTGTCCTCCATTGTGAGGTTGATGTACCAATTCTTACTTCCCTCCATTGTAAGGGTGGTGTACCAATTCTTACTGTCCTACATTGTAATGTTGGTGTACCAATCCTTACTGTCCTCCATTGTAAGGTTGGTGTACCAATTCTTACTGTCATCCATTGTAAGGGTGGTGTACCAATTCTTACTGTGCCTCATTGTGAGGTTGATGTACCAATTCTTACTGTCAGCCATTGTAAGGTTGATGTACCAATTCTTACTGTCAGCCATTGTAAGGTTGGTGTACCAATTCTTACTGTCAGCCATTGTAAGGTTGGTGTACCAATTCTTACTGTCTGCCATTGTAAGGTTGGTGTGCTAATTCTTACTGTCATCCATTGTGAGGTTGGTGTACCAATTCTTACTGTCATCCATTGTAAGGTAAATGTGCCAATTCTTACTGTCATCCATTGTAAGGTAAGTGTACCAATTCTTACTGTCCTTCATTGTAAGGTTGGTGTACCAATTTTTACTACCCTCCATTGTAAGGTTGGTGTACCAATTTTTACTTTCACCCATTATAAGGTTAGTGTACCAATTCTTACTGTCAGCCATTGTGGGATGGTATACCAATTATAACTGTTCTTCGTTGTGGGGGTTGGTGTACAATTCTTACTATCCTCCATTGTAAGGTTGGTGTAACAATTCTTACTATCCTCCATTGTAAGGTTGGTGTACCAATTCTTACTGTCATCCATTGTAAGGATGGTGTACCAATTCTTTCTTCCCTCCATTGTAAGGTAAGTGTATCAATACTTACTATCCTCCATTGTAAGGTTGGTGTACAATTCTTACTATCCTCGATTGTAAGGTTGGTGTAACAATTCTTACTATCCCCCATTGTATGGTTGGTGGACCAATTCCTATTGTCCTCCATTGTAAGGCTGGTGTACCACACCATGCAGTATGCTATCAGTAAATAATTATGCCCAGACAGCGGGTATTCTTTATCAGTTTCTGCCGCAAGGGTTGTACACGGGACCTATGTTTTGGTCCCATCCGAACGACTAGACACCGCATCATGTCAGGTCATGCTATTGTGCTCTCCCCACCTACAAGTGTGGCAAAGCTAGTTTCATTTTGTTAGTATTGTTTTATTTATAGTCTGTAGATGCCTAAATAGTCGAGACTGATAACAGCTATATTTAGATATAGGTCACTGTAGTTTTATATAGTGAGGGAAAGGATATTTGATAACTGTGTGAATAGTATGTTGACAGACTCTTTCTAAGTTTTATAATAATATTGCTATCTGCCATATATTATGTTTAATTTTATAATTTAATAGAAACCCATGTCTTGTTATTTAGCATACCATTAGTGAGTTTATATCCCTATTATATAATCTATTTTGTTGGAAATGTACGATAATAAATTGTCTAATATTATTGAGTATTATTATCTCCCCTTTACTTAAATAGCTGAATTTGAATATATAGCATGCAATTATAATTTATGTGCATACCCTATAACTTATTAAACGTAACTAAATAATACTTTTGTATATCAAACTAATCAGTAGCGGATTATCAGTGAGGCTGATGAGGCTGCAGCCTCAGGCCCAAAGGTTTTGTAAAAAAATTTTTTTAGACTTGTCTGATACGATTAAATACGCATAGACAATGAATGCTAGGGGGGTAGGGATTAGGCCCAACGGGAATCAAGATAGGCTCTGACCCGAAATTAATAAGGCCCACGCCATTTTAAATAGGACCTATTGTTTGGAGATCTGATCTTATCTTTTAAACGTAGGTCTACAATGTACGTTAAATCCTTGTAAGTTTTTGGTTATGTCTTGCTTAATATATTGTATCCACGTGACGTCATTTATGGGCATATAAAGTTACATTACCAATATCAAACGACTTTGGCTTAGTATAGTCTAAGACGTCATACTAGTTATGACGCGATTGTAGGCCCCTGGATAACCTCAGTAACGAATCCCGTTTTTAATGTTAGCAACTACCTTTAAAAACTAAATAGGCCCTCCAGCAACTGCCGCCTCAGGCCTTGGTGGAGCTTAATCCGCCACTGAAACTCATCATAAATCACATTATGTCCATCTGTTAAATAATGTTGTATTTATATTGTTGACAATGTATACTTTGTTTACATAAGGAGCATGAAGTGAGAATGAATTCTCAGAATCGAGGCCATCCTGTCGAGACGGCCAGGCGAACGTGTTATCCAGCACTAGTACCCTGGGTCAGTTGTTCCCACTGGGATATCCGTCTCCAGGGTCGAAGCGAAGCTCTAGTAAATACACCTATAGTTCTCGAGGATTGCTCTTTGAGCACACAGCCTTTAGATGCTTGCATCTAATGAACAGACTTTAAACTGCCCGCAGTTTAAAAACAGCTACAGCCTTTAGATGCTTGCATCTAATGAACAGATACAGACTTTAAACGCTTGCGTTTAATGAAAAGATACAGCCTTTAACTGTTTGCAGTTAATGAACAGTATAGCTTTTAGCTATTACACAGAACAGATCACAGAACGGCTTGAGCTGGGACAGTTCGCCTCTTTATAAATAGTATAAAAGAGTTTTCCCAGTCCATTACAACTTACCTGTATATATGTTATTATACATAATAAAACTTTATAGTTTTATTATACAGTTTTGTTCCGTTTGTTCGAAGAGGGAGAGAGAGAGAGAGAGAGACGAACATAGCACAACTACTTTTTAGCTAGTCCGCCTTCTCCTCTGAAGAGGCTCTACTTTAAACGGCTTGTGATCGGCCAATAGATCACTGGTGGCAGAGAAATTACCGGGGTATCGGTCCTGAGCAACAGTTGCAGCAGAATTCCTCACACTACCAAACCGCTACACCATTTCGTGGCGAAAGACAGGAGAAGAAGCAGTAAAAAAGCGCGCCACACAATATATTCTTGTATCGTGTTACCAGTTGGCTTAAATCGGGAGGTCATACAAGTAAGATCGTACAGTTAGGTCGTACACGTTAGGTCGTACAAGTTAGGTCCTAGACGTTAGGTCCTACATGTTAGGTCGTACACGCTAGGTCGTACACGTTAGGTGCTACAAGTGATGTCCTGAGTACCACAAGTCGTTTATACACGGAAACTCAAATCTGAAACAGAACTGTTGTAGAATATTTCCGTCTACTCAGTTATGAAACAGGCTTTTTATAGAATATTTCCTTTATACTCATTTATGTCTTTTGGGGAATTGTTAAATCAAAATGTTTGAATTGCCTGTTAAGAATTGCTTCAAATTATAGCTACCAACATCTTCAATTGAAGGCTTGATTTCGCTTCAACTACGTAAACTCGCAGTCGCACGTAGCGAAAACTTGAGGCTTGAATCAAGCATGGCCGACTTCTGAAAGGTAAATAATGAAAATTAGCAATTATTCATATAATATTGTAAACAAACAAATGTTCTATGCGCAAATGGTCCTAAACACGAAAGTGGAGAGTGTTTTCAATAGATTATAAGTAGTCATTTGCTAGTTTGGTGATAAAGGGATTTTTAAAAAATGAAAAATTCCCACAGAAGGAATGTTCCATAATACAGTATCCAGTATTGTTGAATATTATTGTCTCCCTTTATTTAAATAACTGTATTTAAATGTATATCATACAATTATAATTTTTAGGCATATTCAATGACAAGTTTAACGTAACTAAAATATACTCTTCAAAGTCAGTTTTGTCAGTAATCACATTGTGTCCGTCTGGTAAATCAAGTTGAATTTATATTGATGACACGTATACTTTATTTATATCACGGCCCGTATCGTTTGTGATTTTCCATGACTAGGTAATGGGTAACGAAAGTTCCAATATTTAACTATCCTGTCGGACGTGTTATCCCGCATTAGTACTCTGAGTCAGTTGATCTAACTGGGATAGCGTTTTCGTACCCAAGCTTTATTAATTGCACTCGTTCTTCGGGAGAAATGCTTTTTGAGTTTAGCCTATATCCATTAACTGGTTGCACGTGACAAGGATTAGGATCGCCTTCCAGCCTCCTGGTTTTTCTCCGGGTCCTCTGGTTTCCTCCCACTGCTAACGATCCCTTAAGCGCAAGCGAATTATTGAAATAAAATTGAACCATATGTTAGTCTCGAAATGACCTAGTTTCTCTCGCTCTCCCCCTCTCTCTCTCGCCCCCCTCTCTCTCTCGCCCCCCTCTCTCTCCCTCTCCCTCTCTCTCCGAGGACATAGGTATAGCATTATACCAATAACTTGTCGTTTTTACAAGGCCATATATTAATGCAAACAAGGAAAAATCTTTAGTCCACTTTAGATAAATTATTTCTTTCCGGGTGTAAATTCCAATGACCTACATTACACAAGGTTGTTTAATTGTGTGAAATAGGTTTTTTAAACGCCCGGGGACAATCACTCTTCATATTCCTTCAACATCTTCCGCCCAACAATACGATATTTGTACAACAATAAATAAATATTTACATAAAACTAACAAACTTCCGGGTCATTGGAATTTTACCCCAAACAAATATGGCGGCGTGTTATCACGTGATCTGTGACATCACGCCGACTAACGAGAATCGCAGGGTTGTACCATCCAGTCTAAGGGTTGTAGTAGATAACTTCCTTGTATGTGTTTCAAGTTTGGCTTCGGCCATTATCATTGGTTGATATCATACATAAGACACTTTTTTTATTGGTCAGATCAAAGAAAGGAAATGGAAGTAAACAGATACAATAAAAAAAAACCAACAAAAAAAAAAAACGCCCATTGCTCAACTCACTTATCTAATTATTGGAATCAAAATTACACCATAATACGCTCGTATGTTAATCCCGAAATGACATTAGTGTGAATCTTTAAGAGAGAGAGAGAGAGAGAGAGAGAGAGAGAAATGGGGTTTAACGTCCACTCGACACAAACTAGGTCATTTCGGGACTAACATATGGTTTAATTTTATTTACATAATTCGCTTGCGCGTAGGGGTCTTTAGCAGTGGGAGGAAACCGAAGGACCCGGAGAAAACCCACGAGGTTGGACAGGCGACCCTACTCCTTGTCACGTACAACCGGGGAGTCGACTCAATGATAGACTTTATGATACAGCGCGCGCACGCTAACCATTCAGCCATCCAACCTCCCGTGAATCTTTAAAGCTGATTTGATGTGATTAAACATACATTATGCAAAAAACTAAATCTGCCCATTACAGGTCTTTCTTTAGGCCTGACATGTTATATAAATTATTAATTAGACATTAATTGACTTATCCAAACCATAATCAACTCTTGATGTCATCGCTAGCCCAGGATATTTACTGGATTAGAACACAATCTGCTGCTCAACGCTCATTGATGATTAAATCAAAAACTGGATAATCGAGACTATGTTTTTATAGCACCGACTTTCGTAATGATTATCGAGGCTAGGCCGAAAATTTAATCGCTAAATTCTCGGTTCAGAGTGGATCAATTTGACTAAATTTTTCAGAAAATTATTTAGTTTTTAACTATTATAGTGAGAACTGCCAACTCTGTATCTAATCTCCCATAATGTATCTTCAGAGTGGATCAATTTGGCTAACATTTTCAGCACATTCCCATTACATTATCACTATTATAGTGCGAACTGCCAGCTCTGTATCTAATCTCCCATGTATCTTTAAATGGTAATGGTAATGAATCAGCGTGCTTTTTCTTGTTTTTATTTCCGCCAACATGAATGGTTTTAGTTTTCAGGAGGAAGTAGACTACAGTCTGTAGTCAGCCTACATATAGCTGTATCGAAATATAAAACTACGATAATGTTAATATTGCTTCCTGTAGAGTTAAGACCCAGTATAATACCGATGTTATAGTGAATACAGTATGTATAGAGAATTATACAGGTTCAACTGCAGATTTTCTTTCCGTAATATGCATGGAGAAAATCTCGAGCAGAAAATCTTGAGTAGAAAATCTGAAGTTGAAAGTCGAATGTCAAAAGTTGATTATTGAAAGTAGAAATTCTGTTGTTGAAAGTAAAGTAGAAATTCTGTTGTTGAAAGTAGAAATTCTGTTGTTGAAAGTAGAATATTTACGACTTAAAGTTGAAAAGGTGGACGTATTAGGTTGAAAAGCACGAGCGGTATATGTTTCCCACACGAAAATGTCCATTTTGGATAAGAATTTTCTCTTTTGCTTTTTATTTTCTACTTTCAACTGCAGATTGCATTTTGAACCTGATACCCCGCCATATATAACGGTATACAGTATTATTATGTAATTCGTCAATAGTTTTTGATGCGTCAACTTATAAGTAAACTATTTATTGGGTATTGTATACTTGGCAGGATGTGCTCTCCCTTTCTAGAACACCCAGTAACATTTCGAATTTGAGTAGTGGGCCTTGTTAATAATGTTTGGTTATAATTCGATATTGAAAGTCGCTAACATCAAGGGATTATAACCAGGTTTTCTTATTTGCGTGTTTTTTTCTGTTTTCTTCAGGTTTTTTTTTCGATTCCCGAATCTGAAGACGACTCTATGAATTAAGAATAATTTTCAAATTCAGGTAAATAGTTTTAACTCCAGGTAAATAGTTTTTCTTTTCCAAACCTTCTTTTAGCTCTGGCTTCTAAAATCCAAGTTCAGATTCGTTTAGCTACAAACAGTTGGTTGTGTTGAATATGTGTTAGTATTTGCTTACCCTTTCTAGACCATCTGATACCACTCCTAGCACTGAGTATGATATATTTAATTTTCTAGACCACCTGATACCACTTCTAGCACTGAGTATGATAATTTTACTCTTTCTAGACCGTCCGATACCACTTCTACGATATATTAACTCTTTCTAGACCACCTAATTAAAGATACATTATGGGAGATATTTATAGAGAGTTGGCCATTCTTGCTATAACAGTTCAAAAGTAGATGATGAAAGAAGAATATATTGAAAAATTCAGTCAAATTACTTTATTCTGAACATAGTTATCATCGTTGTAATATTTGCCTAGAAATGGTAGCGAAATGTGTCTTCACCTACGCTGAACGTTTGATTGACAGGCGTTAACTCCACCTACTTATCTCGATTATCAAGTAAAGTTTTCAATGGCATACGGAAACGCTTTACAGCGGCCTCGCTAAGTACACTCTATCATTTAGCCTCGATCTAACTGACGTATTTTCATCAGGTTACCTCTTATCTGATTTAATCAATTAGTGAAATCCTATTTAAATCCGAGCTGTAGCCGAGCCATCCGTGGGTCTAAAGAGTTGATTTTGGTCTTGTTGTTTAAAAAAAGATCTAATTGATAATTTCTATAACATCTGAAGCCTAAATTAAGACTTGCAATAATCAGATTTAGCTCTTGCATAATGCATGTTTAAGCATCACACAAAATATTTACTATTCCATTTTTTTAAACTTTTTTTTTGTGTTTCAAAAACCAGGAAATAATTGAAATTAAACTGATACAATTTGTGCATATTATCACGAATGTTTCTCAATAGTATGAAACCACAGGCACTTGAAGGGATAATATATAGGCAAGCAGTAGTAAGAAGTTTTATTTTAATCAGTAGTAAGAAGTTTTATTTTAATCCCTTCAACCGTGCATGTGTATGAAACATATGGCTTGATGAAATAACTCTAGGCTACATGTTTATTACTCAGGCACGTTTCCATGGCGATTCTCGCGGTTCAAACGTTATATTTTCCCGGGGACTGGTTGCTGTAATCCGATGTAGTTTTTACGTCGCCTAATATCGCCTTTACACAAGAATTGTCTAACACTGTGATTGCAAGGAAACAATGAGCGTGAAAAATATTCGGATTGTTATTAAAGGGAGATAACTCCAATTTAACGACCAACTGTGCTAAATATAGATATTGTTTAATCTCGCCTCTATAAATAGGTCCACACGCTAATTCTCTACGCAAATTACGCATTAATAAATATCTTGACTAATCAACCTTACGTTACTTTAATCTCAAAATAAACTAAAAAAATTAATTAATTTATTAAGATATCTAAAAGATTTTATATTGTCAACCATAGTTCATATACACTTTTAAAACTGTACAAAATGAAAAAGTCAAAAAATAAAAAAAAAAATAAAAAAAAAAATGAATAAATAATTATTTAAATAAAATTGAACCATGTGTTAGTCCCGAAATGACCTAGTTTGTGTCGAGTGGACGTTAAACCTAATTTCTCTTTCTCTGTAAATTTAAGTTAATGTGATATAGACACTATGATAGTATTATATACTTACTGTTATTACATAAGTTATATAAAAAAATACCTAAATATGTTGGCCACGTGTCACCTCGTCTATATATAGACTTTAGCAAGGGGTTTTTCACATATATCATGCAATGCGTCGATTCCAATCTAATTTCCTATAGTCAGTTGTTTAATTATTTTCTATATGTTAACTTGATAAATATTGTGTGGACAAGCAGAAACGTATTTTCATCGTATTAGGTAAGTTACAGTATATACAATACCTCTTAAATTTAACTCCATGTTTGGATCTTACTGTCAGAGAGAGAGAGAAATGGGGTTTAACGTCCACTCGACACAAACTAGATAATTTCGGGACTAACATATGGTTTAATTTTTTTTCAATAATTCGCTTGCGCGTAGGGGTCTTTAGCAGTTGGAAGAAACCGGAGGACCCGGAGAAAACCCACGAGGTTGGACGGGCGACCCTACTCTCTTTGTCACGTACAATCGGGGATTCGAAACCACGCCAGTTGACTCAATGACAGACCTCATGATACAGCGCGCTCGTGCTATACCATTCGCCCATCCACCCCCCTGGATCTCACCGTCAATGCTTGTGTTTAACTGTTTAGATGTTAACACAAGGTATAATTTTATGGATACACAATTACTGAGTTTAATACTAAGCGACGTTTCGACGAGGATACTCTCGTCTTTATCAAGCAAATGATATTTGCCCACAATTCACATAATTTATTTAACGTCCAGTACTTAATTTATTTAACGTCCGCTTCCACCGAAGGTGAACTATCGCAGACAAGTCTTGTTTTTCATTTTTATTATCTTCGCGCACACGCAGAGGTCTTTCCTGTGGGAGGAAACCGGAGAAAAGCCACATACGCTCACACTAGAAATCGAAACCACAACTGCAAGCCAGAGGTGACCGACCAGCTAGAGGTGGAAGCGTGACACTCTAGAACCCTGCCCCCGCCCCCCCCCCCCCCGATTCTCTACTGACATATCATCTATATATATATTTGTGATTGTCGTTTGTCTGTCTGTCTGTCTGTCTGTCTGTTCGGGGTTGGCGGCTACACTAGGTCCGCCCCGAGTCTGAAATTTGGGGTATAGGGGTAGCTCGGACCGGGGAGTAACATAGGCCAGGTGGCGTTAGTCTACCACTTTCGGTTTCGGAGTTATGACCCCCGAGCGAAACCGGGTATCCTGCTAGTTACTTATAAAACGCTCTTATAATTTTTTTTTTTTGGGGGGGGGGGGTGGATGGCCGAATGGTTAGCACGTGCGTGCTCTATCATAAGGCCTGTCATTGAGTCAACTGGCGTGGTTTTGAATCCCCGGTTGTACGTGACAAGGAGTAGGGTCGCCTGTCCAACCTCGTGGGTTTTCTCCGGGTCCTCCGGTTTCCTCCCACTGCTAAAGACCCCTACGCGCAAGCGAATGATTGAAATAAAATTAAAAACCATATGTTAGTCCCGAAATGACCTAGTTTGTGTCGAGCGGACGTTAAATCCCATTTCTCTCTCTCTCTCTCTCTCTCTCTCTCTCTCTCTCTCTCTCATCATTTGGACACCTGTCATTTTATGTACTAGCACCATTGTTATTGAAAAAATGACCACCTCAAATTCGCAATGTCACTGCTATTGCTACTTTAAAAACTAAAGACTTATTTATTTAAACATACATTATGTAAGCGCTAAATCTGCCTATTGCAAGTATTTCTTTAGGCCTGAAATGTTTTCTAAATTCTTAATTCGACATTAATTAACTTTTCCAATTAATACGCACATGTTGCAGCTGTGCGCTATAAAATTTGTAATTATAATACGGCGCTAAAGACCGGACTATTAATGTAAATATAAATGCTGGGACAAAAAAAATCGCTAACGTGCACGTAAAAGAACACTTGACAGTTGGAATTTGAAATAAAATTAGGCCGTAGCGCCACTGGTCAGGCAAAATTACCCGCATAGCACACCGTATGGCGTATACCCGTCTTCATTAGCCCAGTCAGTGCAGAACAGTAGGACGTTAAACCCCATTTCCGGGCAAAATATCCCCCATAGCGCACTATATCATTATTTTTAAAGGCTTAATTCTCTAATTTTCTCTAATTAATTATCAAACATTTAATTAATGAAAAATAAAACCAAAACATCAACGGTAGGGTAGATAATCTCCAGGGTTGGATTTAATTAAAAAAAATTGTGGCGCCGACTTGTTAATACCGTCTGCAAAGGGTGTCGAAACCTTCGAAAATTTCAGTCCTCCTAAATAATAATAATAATCTAAATGTTAAAACCGGAATGCTGATAAATTATTTGTAATTCGTCTACTGATAGCAATGCCCCTCCCTCTACCCCCCCCCCCCCTTTCTCTATATCTGTCTGTCTGTCTCTCTCTCTTCCTGCGGTCAGTTTTGCTGATTTTCGGCATAGAATCAAAGAAGAGATGATTTAGCATTTTCGAGCTTGTTTTGGTAATTAACCATGGCGGAAGGATAACAGAGTTACGAGGTTGGTTATGATGATATGTTTGGCGGATAGGTACACGTGTTTATTATGCTTCTTATAGTTTGCGTATATTAAAACGTCAGTGGTTACCCATTTATTGCTCTGTCTGTAGTGAAAAATGTTCAACAAAAACAAAATTTGGGTGGTGCAATTAGTTGTGGGCTGCATCCATAAATTCATAAAAGAGAGTTATCTCCCTTGAACACCTGACACATTTAAAAAAAATAATGAATACAACGGTTCTTTTATTCACGAAACTTTAAACAAAAATATTTTAAGACTGCTTCCTGATATTTGGACTGGGATTTTTTTTGGGACTAGAAAAATATTACATGATTAAAGGCACAGTCTAAAATGGTTAAGAACACTCCCATTTTATTCTTGCGTTATCATAGGCCTATTGCGTAATAAATAGGGAGTGGTCGCCTTAAAAAGTACAATTCCCCCCACTTCAATGTATGACTTCGTGATTGCTATTAAGATGATTAATATCTTTTTGCGTTGTTCAAACTATTCACTGCGCGTGGTTGTTTATTTTTATATATCTGCATAGATGACTTGACGCAGTTGAACATTCCACTCTATTCCTAGGATGTAAATTTACAACTGGAACAACAAGTCGCAGGTAAATATCTTTTATTTCCTTTGACGTAGGGCTAGACAGTTTCATTTGATTCTAACTAGACGGTTTTACTTGATTCCTTGGTTGTAACTGAACGTTTGTGAAATAGCTTTATTTAAAGTCAGCTTCCAGCGAAGTAATATCTCCGACAAAAGTAAAATAGCGCCTCGACTAAGTATAATAAGTC